ATTTCCCTCATTCTACTTACATGTATTAATTGCAATTCTTCTGTAGGGAACAGCTCTGTCTTCTCCCTATTTGTTTGTTTACATAATTACTTAAGTATATCAGTGTGGATTCTTATATATTTGTTGTGTTTTATTTTTGTAATCCAGTACTATCATTATTCATTTATTTGTTTAATTTTTTGCTCATATTGTTCTAGGTTTGTCCATTGGGAGGTCCTTCAGGTTAGCCCCTTTGTTTCTTTGACATACCTGCATTCAGTTTTGGGCACTTCTATATTTTCTGTTACCAATGTCTATTTCAGGATTAGGTTTTACTTTCTCAGTTTAGTCCAGGAATCATCCACTTCTCCAAGGAAACTAGGTTCTCTTTATTGAAGAATAGTGTTTAGAAACCAAGATCTAGATGTTAGGTGTGCTCATTGGAAATGTGGAGTCCCTGTTTCTAGGTTTATTCAGGGGACAGAATTAGGAAACACATGCAATATATGTACTTCTGTTTCTAGGTCCTCTTGGGTGATAGAACTAAAAAGTATATGTATGCCAATCCATGCATGGACACACATCTTTATTTCTATATCTATCTGTGTATATATAGTAAAAAACCATGAGTTCATACTGATATCTTTGATTTGAATTTAAATCTAATACTACAGTGTTTGTTCTTTATTTCCCATTTCCTTATTCATAACTTCTTTATTTACCTGTTAGAAACCTAGCCCTCTACCAGATGTTTACTTATTTGTTTATTTCTAGCATACATGGGAGATAGTTTTAGAATTGCTAACCCATATCTCTGTAAGAAACACATTTACTAATTCAAGTACAGTGCCCATGTACAGATCTTTCAATCTTTAGCCTTATAGCATCCAGATAAGATACTGTTGCCTCAGTTACATAGGCTAGCTTTTTTCTTTTCTGTTCACAGCATGGTAATATTATTCACTCGAAATACAGTTATACAATTGGGTTTATTTACTATAGCTTGTATTCTTTTGGGGGTTATCTCTGCATCCTAATTGGTTTTAATTATTTATCTTTTTAGAAAGTGAAGTAATATTATGGTTCTAAAAGTCAGCTGTACAAAATGGTATACTCAGAGAAGTGTCACTAATTCTCCATCCAGCTTATTCCCATTCCCTCTTTTTTTTCTACCACTTTCTCATTTATTCTTGGTAGAGAACCTATCTGTTTAGCTTCTGGTTCATCCTTAGAGCATTTCTTTTGCAAAAATAAGCAGATCCGTGTTCTTATATCCTCCTTTATGTTACTGCTTCTCATATTCTTGATCTATCTTTGATATAGGTTCTTTTGCTGTAAGGTTTGAAAATTCCCTAGAAGTTTTGTGTATTTAATTCCACATTATTATTATCAGAACTTCAAGTAGTCAATGACTCTGTTAGATATTCTTTCTCATTATTTTAGATTTACAAAATGTTATTTTTATTATTATGAGAGCTTTACGTCCATTGTCTGCATTAGGCTTCATTTTCAGAGACCATTTATCACTCCTGAGACAGCTCACAAAAAGATTATTGTTACTGAAAACAATTAGAAATACCAGGCTTAATCTAGTTTCAGAAACTACCTGCTTGGAAGTGGATGGGGAGAACACGTGTTTTCTGACCTTCACCGGGTCTAATCTGGTCCTTAACTTCCACGGCATTCCGCCTCTCCAGTTTTACACGGCTATGGGAACAGATTCCCCACAAAGAAAGCAGCAGGCACACCATCAAATGACATTTCATTCTTTCTTTAATGATCTGTTTCTTTGCTCTTGGAACAAGTCTGTAAAGATTACAAGTGTGTCTCAGGGGAAAAAAATAAAAGTATAGTAGAGCCAAAACTTGAGCAAGTTCACAAAGAATCATAAGGGGGTGGACGAGGTATTAGAATATAAATAGAAAGTACAGTATTAGTTCCAAACAAATGCTTTCAAAGTCTTTGTGTGCACTGACAGCTTCAGATATTTGATGTAAATGAATTTTTCTCTAGAAACAATGGAATCTGTAGCTTGTGGTGGCACTGTTTCTTTTCTAAACCTTGCTTTTCTTTTTTGTTTTGTTCCTGAGGTGAAAGCAAAGCTAAGTTAGGTATGTATTTGCATCAGAAAGACTTCCCAGCAGCATCTATACCAGTCAGTGATCACTTTTCATTATTTTAGTTACCTACTTGTTTGCAATTTTCCTTTTTAAGCCTCCTTTCCACAAAGCCGAACACAGTCACAGTCACACACAGACACACTAAAATGATGATGGCAACCAGCATGCGATTTTCTTTGACTATTAGCAAGTGAAGCCTATATCCAAACTCTGTGCATTTTATGCTTGTTGAAATCCCATCAGCTCATGAGAAAGTACTTATCTCCATTAATGTCACCTTCTTTTGTGTAGGTGCTATGTCAGAAATGTGATAGTGAGGCCTGACATGTCTTCTGTCCCACAGAATGCTTATCCCAATCACCGCTTAATTAAGGTTTTCAGAATCTTCTTATAAAATATGTCTTGAATCTTCTTTACTCTTTTCCCACCATTCCAGTCCAAGCTCCCTTTCTTCCTTGTCTCTCTGAGCTCCCTGCCCCTGCTATAATTCCATCTCCTCAAGAACCAGAATGAGTTTTTAATATCTCAGTATCACGCCCCCTCCCTCCTTAAATGAGTCTGCCCTTTCCTGTTGCCCACAGCTTTCTCTTCTTCTTTGAGAGACACTACAGGAAGCTGTGTGATGTATTTACTGCTTACTTCTCCAGGCCTCCTCACTCTACTGTTCCCCTGGATCTTGGCTGGCTATGGAAAACTGTCCTTTATCAGTTCCCAGCTAAGTAACTAGGCCTTTCTATATTTCAGCATCCAGAAAGTTCTTGCCTCTCTCTTTCCACCGAATTTCTGTTTGTCCCTCAGGACACAAGCTTAGAGAGTCCCTTCCTAACTTCCAGTTCAAATAGCATGTCCCCGTTATTATCTAACTAAATTATTTATTTGAGTACCTAGATTTCTATCTTCTTGCTCACTATATGTTCCAGACCTGGCAGCGTGCCCAGCATATGATAAATACTTAATAAATATTTGTCAAATAAATTAATATTATGAGTAATTGTATGTGTAATTCCTAATCATTAACTGCATTTGTTTGGAAAAAATCATAATAACTGGTGAATAATACATCATTTTATTCCAAAGTGTTTTGTGTATATGTTGGTTTTCAAATGAACCACTACTGCTCTCATTTTTATCACCATCATTAACAAGCACCACCAACTGGAACTGACCCACCTACTTATCTCTCCCCACGTAGCACCTTATGTGCATGGGAGAAGTGATACACACCTTGGTAGGATGAGTTGAAAGATGCCTGGAAACATGGACAGAGTTTCACTTCCAGTAGATACACCATGAGATACTCAATATTCTGACTGATGACAATAAAAATCATCCATAGCAAAACTGTTATTTAGGAGAAATAACATTTCAGCCACTATTGACCATTATTGTTACAGTCCAAGACAGAATGTTCAGCTAGTCAGAGATTGGATGTCCAAGGGAAGGAGACATACTATGGATACATTTTGATTGCATTGAGGAAAAAAGAAACATTAAGATACTCTCTTAAGTTGGGTGCATTGAGGAATCTGAGCAGCATCACTTCCCAGAGAACCCTGGGAGTGGATTGCTTCACACCCCTCAGGAAGCTGGAATATCTAGGGAATGCTGAAAACAGTGGAAGTGGACCTCTGTAGGGTTAGAGTTTAGAAGACATATTAACAAAACATTGCTTTTTTTACTCTTTAGTGTTAGCTTTGCATGACAAAACATTCTCATGCTTGAATTCCATGCTTGAAAGTTCAACTTTTTTCTTTGTTTTAAATTTTACCTGAGGAAAACAGTCTAGACCATAAAGATGTAAAGTGGTGAATGGGCAATTCAGGTTCCCGAGGCTGCCTGCCCTGTATGGCAAGCTGAACCTTTTACAGCTGCCTGCTTCAACCCTCGTTGGATCTTGGTACTTCCTGAGATGACCCCAGTTGACCTAGGCAGGGGGCTAAGTTACCGATCCCAACCTGCTTCCCTGCCTCTCATTTCTGCCGGCTGAACACTTTTTTTTTGAGGGCTTCCCTTTAGCATTGCTGTCCTAGGGCTTTATGATGACTTCCCAGAGTCTCTCAGTATCATGCATGTGAACGCTTCCTATTTCCTTGCCTTTGTAGATTTTATAAAGTGCTTTAAAATGTGATTTTCTCATGTGATTATTATGGCAATGTTTTGAAATAGGAATAACGTTCATAGATGAGGAAACTGGGTCTCTTCAGAAGTAGGTTGACTTGCTCCTTTCTGTTTGCCTTGACTTTTTGCAAATAGATTACTAATTGATTCTGATAAGGTAGGTAATGGCCTCTTGGGCCCACTGCCAATTTAAAATGACTCAAATGGAAAATAACTAAATAATAATGCAGTGTTCTAGAAGACCCCCAAACCACAAACCTGTAGTCTTCAAAGCCACAGAAAAGCAGATAGTGTTGAGATGCAATCAACAGGCATCATTGATTATAGAATAAAAGATGGTTGGTAGTAGGTGCTCGAGTGAGTCTCCAGAGCCTGAGGGACACTTCTTTTGAGTGTTAAAGACGAAGGGTGTTTCTTGAACTGGGCTCCTGGTCAAAGAGACTCTGGATTTAGTGAGTTGTCATCTAAAGCTGAAATTAGCTTCTCTTATCTGCCAGGGTTTTAAACTCAGCCCAGCAAGTATCTGTAGGCTATTTTGGCAAATATTACAAATTTGCTACTCTTCTCCCATCAGGCTCAGGGCATGAAGCCTGTGTGAAGGCTGCCAACATTCTTCTGTTTGCTAGTTTCATCATCAAAGCGTATTGGTGCAACGACACGGAAAAAAGCCAGTAATATAAGCTCAGAGCAAAATCAGTACACTTGAAAAGCTTCATGGGTATTTCTTTGGTGATTTCATTACTGAGTGTAATTAAGTTCTCTCTAGACTTTTGGACAAACAACATTTTTGAAATCTCTGCCCTCCCCACCACCAAACTCACTCACCAGCATTCCTCTCAAACTAAATTGCATGTATAGCACATACACACACAATCCTTTTATATAGTGAAAGAAAATCCAAATGTAAATGTGTTTTCTGATAAAGATTATATAGGCTTTTTCTTTTGAGAGTCTTCATTTTAATATATGCAATATCTTCCTTTTAATACTTGCCTACAATTGTGGAAACTTTTGATTTTTTCTTCTTTTTCAGAAAACATGATCACAGAGTTTGACTGTACTTACATATCTTTGCGTCTGAGGAACACAATACATTTCAGATTGTCATATGTTTACATCTTCCTTGGCATTGTCATCAACTTGCTGGTTTGAGAGACAGAGGTCAAGCTAACCTGAGTTTCTTTGGTATAAAATGGGACAGTTGAGATTCAGAAAAAATTAAGTGTTCTGAAGCATCACAAGTTAGCAGCAGAGGAATCAATAAGAGAGTTCTATATTTGAGGTCTGCCATTTGGTAGGTATGAGGCCTTTCCATACACTGTCTTATTTAGTCCTTGCCACAATCCTATGAGGTAGATGTTTTTACTCCTGCTTAACAGACAAGGGAACTGAGGCTCAAAGGGATTGAGCGACTTGCCTAAGATCACACAGTTGAATGGCAAAGCTGAATTTAAAACTTTAATCAATCTGTTTAAGAGCCCATATTTGTTCCACAATGTACGCATCTCCTTAGATCAGAGCTGGAACTCTATCAAGATCAAGTCATTCTTTAAATCTATCCATTGAAATACTCAGTCTTTAAAGGCAAGTCCCAAAATTGATGTTCAATAAAAAGCATGTTGTTGTCTATTCCCTGGTACTGTGTATTGCCTAATTTTAAACTTGTTTTCTAAATTATACTCCAGTTTCTCTAGATTTACTACAGAAGTTGCATATGGGGGCTTTGATTTGCTAAGTCCTAACTATTAAATCAGTGAGAAGGACTTTGATTTGCAGCAGATGTACTGAGTGATCTCTTTGAAGTGCATGGCATTAGACTCCAGGACGAAGAGTGTTCAGTTTAGTGTTGTTAGAGAACGAGGCTTTCTGTTTCCTAACTCTTTCCTTGTGATTCTCTTTAAAGAGCCAACAAACCCAGAGAGAAATTTTGGATTTTAGAGCAACGCAGTTTGGGTAGGAATATAAGGAAGAGCAGTGAACCAGGAGTTTGTTTTCTTTGCTTAGAATTGAACAAATTTTGAATTCTCCCAAAATGGCTACATTAGGCTGTTCTCATATTGCCATAAAGAAATACCTGAGACTGAAGAAAACGGGTTTAATTGGCTCCACGTTCTGTGCCTTTCACCCTTAGGGAAGCTTCCAATCATGGCAGAAGGCAAAAGGGTATAAACTTACGTGACAGGAGCAGGAACAAGAGAGAGAGGCAGGGAGGTACCAGACACTTTTAAGCAATCAGATCTTACAAGAACTCATTATCATGAGGATGGCATCAAGGGGATGGTGGTAAATGATTCATGAGAAACTGTCCCCATGATCCAGTCACCTTTCACCAGGCTCCATCTCTAATATTGTGGATTACACTTAAACATGAGATTTGAGTAGGGACACATCCAAATCGTATCAGTGGCCACCATAGTATCTCACAGCCCACACAATTCATATTACTATGCGACTTTGCCATTCCTACCATTGAGAAGTGATGTCTGTGAGTTCTTCCTTGAATCTGGACTGAGTTGAGACTATGGCAAGAAGGATGCTCTGTGACTTCCAAGCTTAGGCCATAAAATGTGATACATCTTCTACCTGTTTTCTTGGAATCCTCATAGTTAGAAAACAGAATCATACTCTGAGAAAGCCCGAGCAACTCATGGAGAGGTCCATGTGAAGAGATCCATGAGAAGAAGAATTAAGCCTCGGATCCTGAGCTCTTAGCAGACAGCCAGCATCACCTTGCCAGTTGGGTGAGTGAGCCATCTTGGAAATACTGTAGGTTGCACAGTCCTCAGTTAAGTCACCTCAGCTGGTAAGTGGAGCAAGGGCAACTCTTCCCCATAATACCCTTCCCAAAGTGCCTGTATGTCAGCTAAATAACTAATTTTTTTAATTCTAAGCCACTAGGTTTTGAGGTAGTTTACAACTGGAACAAAAGTAAGGCATAGGCATAACAAATTGTAGAAAAATCATTAAAAAGTAGCTTATTTATTATAAACCCCTATAATTAAACACAGTAGGAATTTTCTGTTAGGAATTTTCAGTTCCTAGATTCTAAAGACAGAATTTATAAAATGTGTATTTGGTGTAAAATGTCAGATAAACATTTCTGTCAGAGAGCTTATCTTTGCTCATTTCTTTGGGGCGAAAAAAAAACCAAAACGGATGCACACTGAATTGGGCCATAGATTCCAGACAAAGAGAATTCTGTGAAGACAGAAGAAAAGGAAATGGGTTGACAATATGGCATAAACTTTGCATTAAATGCAACAGTAATGATAATGTCATTTAGGTATATGATCCTGTCTTTTAAAAAATTTGAAGAAATTAAAAGAGCATTGTTAGTACAGTAACATTATAGAGTGTGCCAGAACAGTTTCTCTCTCTCTCTCTCTCTCTCTCTCTGTGTCTCTCTCTGTCTCTGTCTCTCTCTGTCTCTTTTCCTCCCACTCATCTTCAACAAAAAGCTGAACACAGTAAATAACATGATTTGTTCACATGCCAGAAACAGACCAGTCTTATGCTGGTCTTCACTAGTTTCCATTAAAAAGAGTGACAAGTGTCATCATCACTTTGTTTTTTTTTTTTTATTAAATCAATACCCTGTAGTAATTTTTCACAATTAGGCAATTGTTTTTCCAAAGCATTGTTCCATTTTCTCTATTTCTTTTTACCTTGCTTCTACTAGGGCTTTACACTTTTATTTCTGTTATTCTCCTTGGTTTACCAGACTCTAGTCAATTTTTACCCTAAAACATTACACCCAAAATAACTCCAAAGTCACTCCAACCATTACGTTGATGTTAGATATTCATTGCCTGTATGTGAAGTATTCTTACCATTGCCCACATTTATTTTAATAATAATAAACATTTATTTTTATTGCTTGCTATGTTCAAGGTTGTTTTCATGGTTCTCATTTATCTATGTCTTTCTGTTTTCAGCACCTAAAATTCAATTCCTAGTCTTGTAACCTAAATTCAGTGCAGTGCCCTCTTCATGCCAAACTTTCTTTGGTTTTCTTTTCAATCTCACCCCCAAGTTTATTAAACATTCTTTTGTTTTACTGAGCCGTACTTTGCTGGGCCTAAAACTCTCCCAGGTGGCTATCTCAGATTTATTATCCCCCTTTCTTCAATCAATTAGTACAGTTCTTCTGTTTGTTTCTCTTCTACTTAATCTGGCAATTACTGGAGTCATGCAGTAATTTATCTTGTTTATCTTGTCTCCCCAAGAAAGAATTTAAATTATATATTTATTTGAGGCAGGTACTGTGTCTATTGTTTTAAGCTCTTCTCATTTATTCTAAAATGTGGTCAGTGATAAAAGCATGTGACAAAAACTCAACAAAATGGAAAAACAAATGTCTTTATGATTAATGTGTTGAATTTGCAAATGACTGCTACTCTATGTAGAAGAAAATAGATTATGGATATTAGAAATGGGTGTCATGTAAATGTACTCATTTTAATACATTTTATTTCTTAACATATTTAAATGTAGTTGCTCTGGACTCTTTAATATTATAGAAATTTGTCTAAGGGAGCTTATAAAAACACAGTATTTCAGAAAGGCAGATCAGGGGTGTGGCTGGCAAGATGGCTGAATAAGAACAGCTTTGGTTTGCAACTCCCAGCAAGATTAATGCAGAAGATGGGTGATTTCTGCATTTCTAACTAAGGTACCTGGCTCATCCAGCTGGGACTGGTTAGTGAGTTCAGCCCATGGAGGGCGAGCCAAAGCAGGGTGGAGCATTGCCTCACTCAGGAAGTACAAGGGGTTGGGGAACTCCCTCCCCTCACCAAGGAAAGCCATGAGGGATTGTGCAATGAGGAATGGTGCATTCTGGCCTAGATACTATGTGTTTCCCATGGTCTTCGCAACCCGCAAACCAGGAGATTCCCTCAGGTGCCTACACGACCAGGGCCCTGGGTTTTAAGCACAAAACTGGGCGGCTGTTTGGGCAGACACTGAGGCTGCAGGAGATTTTTTTTTTTTTTTTTTTTCTTTCATACCCCCGTCATGCCTGGAATGCCAGTGAGACAGAATTGTTTACTCCCCTGGAAAGGATGCCTAAGTCAGGGAGCCAGGTGGTCTAGCTTACTGGATCCCACCTCCATGGAGCCCAGCAAGCTAAGATCCACTGGCTTGAAATTCTCGCTGCCAGCACAGTAGTCCGAAGTTGACCTGGGACTCTTGAGCTTATGGTGGGGAGGTGTGTCTGCTATTACTAATGCTTGAGTAGGTGGTTTTCCCCTCATAATGTAGACAAAACCACCAGGAAGTTTGAACTGTATGGAACCCACTGCAACTCGGCAAAGCCACTGTTGCCAGACTGCCTCTCTAGATTGCTCCTGTCTGGGCAGGGCATCTCTGAAGGAAAGGCAGCAGCCTTAGACAGGGGCTTATAGATAAAACTCCCATCTCCCTGGGGTAGAGCACCTGTGGGATGGGGCGGCTGTGGGAGCAGCTTTAGCAGACTTAAATGTTCCTGCCTGCCAGCTCTGAAGAGAGCAGTGGATCTCTCATCACAGTGCTTGAACTTTGCAAAGGGACAGACTGCTTCCTCAAGTGGGTCCCTGACCTGTGCCTCCTGATTGGGAATCACCTCCCAGCAAAGGTCGATGGACGCCTCATACAGGAGAACTCCAGCTAGCATCTGGCAGGTGCCCCTCTGGGACGAAGCTTCCAGAGGAAGGAACAGGCAGCAATCTTTGCTGTTCTGTAGCCTCTGCTGGTGATATCCAGGGAAACAGAATCTGGAGTGGACCTCCAGCAAACTTCAGCAGATCTGCAGCAGAGG